CAACCACTGAAGTAGAAAACCAGCTTATTTAAAAGTAAGATTTTTTTTCTAAGTATGTGTAGAGATTTTCTGCTTGCAGTGGACATGAAGAAAGACAAAGAATAACCTTTTCCTCTAGACAAAAGAGTGGAAGGGAAAATAATGTAGAAAGAAAAATTACATGGTAGAGAAGAGGATATTTTCCCTACTTTGTTCCATGGCATGACTGTATTTGTGTACTACATCAATTTACTGGTAAGTTGCCTCTCTTCCTTTCCAAAATCTGCATGTCAGAAATGCTAACAGAAGTATTAGCACATTGAATGGGCCATCATACTGCTTTTGGGAAAGCATTAGCCAGGGATGCTAAGCCTCACTTCTTGCTTTCAAAGTGTACCACATGAATGAATAGCATTAATCATCACTGTTAGTCATTAGCAAGTAACCAGTTGCAACTACTGGGATCTAGAGGCAATTTTTTTCCTGAACTTGCTTTTCATGCTGACATTGGCTTAATTAGTGGCAATAAGGCAGTAATCCTTGCTACTGGGGTCAGAAAAATCTGACACCTGCTGCATCATGGGTATAAATATTTCATAAAGATTCTATCTTTTCAAGTGATGCCCAGTAGTTCAGGGTTTGACTCTTAGCATGAGGGAGCCATTGTGGACTGCTTGTGTTAATTGTCCTGTTGCTTGCTGTCTTCCAGTGCCCTTAGGAAACTTGCTTCACTTTAACCCCCGTTTTATGGCTGCCTCCTTTTCTTCATCATAGATAAGAAAGATTTCGTGATGCTTTTCTGTGCTATGTTTAGAATCTTAAATTCAAGACCTGAATTTCTCAGGCAAATTCAAAGTTAGTCAGGACCTCCCAGGGTCTGTCCCCCAGTAAGAACAGAGAAAGAGGAAGCCACTGCAGTGGTTGAAGGGCTGAGTTATACAAAGGGTTACTAAACTGCCCTGGCACCCACCTTCTTTCTGAGCCAGAAGCAAATTTGAAAAAGAAACTGCTGTGCATCACTTCCCTAGCAGAACATGCTGCAGACAAAAGGAACCGAAACCACAACTAGAGAATTGGATTTCCCCTGCTTTCTCCAAAATAAATATTTGTTTGCAACAAAAGCAGCCGGAAGAATGAGACGTGCACCTTTGACACTAAAAGCTTGTGTGTTTGTGCCAGCTGCAGTAGAGGTATGATCCTCCACTGAGTGCTACCTAAGGTCAGGCTGAGCTCCATCTCCCCCAGCTTGTGAATTAACATCTTCAGCTACTTGCACTAAGCAGAGAGAGGAAGAAGGCCCAGGGAGTCCAGCGGGAATCTATAGCAAGTGAAAAGGAAAATGAGCAGTGAGGCTGCCTCTTGGAGTTGCTCCCTACACTGCTCCTTCCAAACAGCAGCATCATTTCCTCCACAGCCATTGTGCAGCAGCCTCATGTGCTGGCTTTTGGAATGAGCTTCAAAGGGAGGAGATGGGTACAAAAGTATCTGTAGAGGAGCCCAAGCCCAGCAGGCAGCTCACAGCCATTATCTGGATAAGCAGCTCCAGGAGATGGTTAGCAAAAAGGAGCGGCAGTGAAGGTGAGTTCTTGGGAGTACAAGGAGTGTATCCACCTCTGGATGCTGCCTTTGAAAGGATCCACGCATCTCTTAGCAGGGCTCATCCTTTAAACAAGCCCAGTACTACAGATCTGTGCTTTGAGCAGTAGCTTAGCAGTTAGAAGCTCTAACTAGAAAGAGGACAACACCCTTCCCCTCATGGTTTGAGTGGGTTTACACACCAGTTCTCCATTGTCTCAAAGGTGGCCCAAAAGAATATATTCCTTCTGTGAGTGGTTGGAAAGGCAACAGATTACTAGTAGAGGACATAGCAGAGCAATGTTTCTAGCTGATGGAGTCAGCTGGAAAAGCCTTTTCTGAACTCTGGAGAGCTGTTCATCAAGCATCCTCATAGGGAGGCTGTGCATGTGACAGATATTCTTGTACTTTGAAAATTGAGTGCCTCATAACTTGGTTTTTCTTTGTTTTTCTTGTACCTTATGCTTCAAGGTAAATTGACCCTTTAATGGCAAATCTCTGTCTCATATATTTTCTTTATTGCACCTTTATGTATAAAGGCACAGTAAAGAAAATGTATGGGACAGAGATTTGCCGTTAAAGGGTCAATTTTTAAAAGCAGTTACCACATGAGATTATCTGGAGCACCACAATTATGGCCTTTCGCAAGCTGAGGGAAATGTTGTGGTGTCTCATATGGCACCATTTGCTAACACTTAGCCGAAGAGATTTTTATGGCCAGCAAGCACTCTAAATTCATACTGTTTAGCTTCACTTTTTTTTTTTCCTCTTGTCCACTTTTCCAGTTCTCATTTTCAGCTGTTACCTGGCATGAATTTGCACAGAAGAACCTCCCCTGTCATCTGAAAGCCAGAAAAATCCATTCAGATTAGGAGACGGAAGGAGATTTAGAAAGAGTCTCTCTTGGATCGTGCTTTTGCCTTCACAAAAGCCATATTTTTATTATGCCCTTACATAACCTGTCCCCTGTTTCAAATACTGCTTGAAAAAAATCCTCCTTCGTACAAGAACATGACCAGCTGAGTAAATAAAAAAACCTGTTGAACTTGTGGATTGTACTTACTGAGGTCCTAACTATTTTGATACATGTGCCTGCATAGCAATACTTTGGAGAGAAATAGTGATATTGAGACACATGAAAACAGTTGGTAAAGGCTACAAGTTAACCTGAAAGCATATTCCTGGTAACACAGTTAAAGGAAAGGGAGAGGTGCTCAAAGGTAAATTCAGGTCAGTTGGCATCTTCAAAAACAAGACTTGGATGACTTATAAAACAAAGTCATATGCAGAGAGGGAACAAGTCACAGAAACACCAAATTTACCACAGTGTCATGAGAGTGGAAAGGAGGAAAAAAAATGACAAAAAAGAACTCAGCAGTAAAATGAATATATTCATGCAGTGTCAGTCTCTCCAGACAAGAAATGGTGCCAAGCAGAACCGCATCAGCGTGTGGCCGCTTCTTGCACTGACACTAAAAACATCTGTTGAGGTACAGCGTTTATACTGTCTGCCAAACAAGAGTTTTTTAATCTTAAAACATATGCTGGAAATAGGAAAATTTGGACAAGAACAAAAAGAAAAAAGAGGGGTGGGTGGCCAATAAATTAAAAGTGAGAAGTGGGGAAGGACAGATTTGAGACAATGTTTTCCACATAGTGCATCACAGTTAACTCAAGTCATCTCAGGTCACCAAGGAAAGCAAAGCTCATGAAGAAATTCTCGGATTGCTCAGAGAAGTTGAAGGAAACAGAGTGGTGCTCTTCATGTCAGGCTTCATCCTTTAAAATTTGGGTTTTGAACAGTTAACCATAAAACACAGGTTTTAACAAAGGTTTGGGAATACGTCTAATTTGAGATGCAAGAACTGATGCTGACAACAATACTCTTATTTTTCAGGCATGCATATCTCACATTTTTTGCAGAAAGGATGTATTTAAGCTCCTCTGCTGAGCCAGAGCCTAATATTGGCTCTTCAGAAATTGTGCCTCCAGCCTATTTGGCTAAATGCTTATCAAGTAAATTGTGGATACATACAATGAGTAAATTATTTAAAGATTATCACCTTTACATTTATATCTCTGGTTGAAGAAGCTAGAATGCAGAATTCAGAAATATTTCAGTGAGAATAATTGTCAGATATGACCAAAGAAGTTATTCAAATATTTCTAGGATATTTTTCAAATAAAGTCCCTAAGTATTCCTTATGATAAAATACTCTCATAGAAGGCAGCTTATTTTCATTTCTTAAATAAACTATATATTTTAAAGTACATTATTTGGTGAAGATATGTAAGTGATCCATTTCCCAAATATCATAATCATGTATGAATAGAAGATTTGATTTTGTGTCACAGACCCTCTGAAGTCAAGAAATTCTTTCATTCAAGTGAGTGTCTTTTTGATACCATTTCAGGTTTACAATATGTGGTACGTGTCTAAAGACAGAAACAGACAATGAACCCTCTTCTATACAATTTTCCACTCAAATAATTCCATGTGAATTTTAAAAGAGAAAATGCGCCTAGAGTAAAATGCAGGCCCCTAGAAATCAAAGAGGAAACTCCCACTCTCCAACAGATTTGAGATTTCAACTCTAGAATACTTGACTTTCAAGTACAAAAGATTTATGCTCAGTGAATCACTGGATATGGTAAATTTCATGTTTTCAAAATCTACATAAAATTAATTGTGCTGTATATCTTTCAAGATTTGCTTTATTTTATTTTTGTTCCATTTATTAAATGTTATATTTCTGAAAAACACCATAAAATATTCAGATGAATGGATTATACATATCATGGCTTACAGAAGTTTTTGTTCCTTCTAATATGTTGAATGGGAAAATTTAGACTTTGGATTGTGGTAGATTACACCTACTGTAGACAATTTATTTCTGGGATATAAAGCATTTTGGAAAATATTAAAATCCAATTCTAAAATGAGTTGATGAGATGAAATGGGAGAGTTTTCCTGAGGGCAACACTCAGAGCTACAAAAATTTCTGCCTATTTGATAATTTTTGTCTTTGACTGAGTTCTATATATTAGGTCAGTATGTAGCTGAGTTTTATTTCACTTGTAAAAATACAGAGGTTTTGTGTGCCCAGTTATTTTCAAATGTTTTTGCTTCTTCCTGAATCCTAAGAGAATATTTTCTATGACCATCAGAAAGCAAAAGACAGTTTAAGCCTATGGATATCTCTCCCTTTGTTGTCAATGCATCACAGTTGGAAAAGCTGCAATTAGCGCAGGCACTGATGAAAAATCTCATTGGTTCTTCTGTTTAAATGCTAGTAAACAATTGCAGTTATTTCTTCAGGACTGGAAGACAACAACATTTTGAAAGACCACTAGGATATAAAGTATTCTAGGCTGAATTTTCAAATCAGATAATTTCTTAAAAGTTTAAGATCATTCTGAGGTTTCAGAGCTTTTTTCCCTCCCAGCAGGAGACTTTCCAGTGATCTGCAACAAGTGGCAACATAGACCACGTGGAAATGCATCTTGCAATATCCTTCTTCCAGTGAATGTTAAGTTTCTTGTGAGACCAAAGGTTTGGCTGAATCTTTGGTATATTTTAACACATCCTTACTTTAGGTCTGTGAACTAAATTTGCAGATTATTTCCACTTTAATTTTCATTCTTATTTCTCAGAGAAATCCGACTAACCCCTTCTTCCTTGCTCAACATCTGTTTGTCTTCTTTGGTGAGAATCTGCACACTGCTCATTGCAATATGGAAGCCTGAGCTGCCAGTGAAATTTTGGTGACTAATAACTGTTGACCTCCATGTTCAGAAAAAATTCATACATAGTGGATTAAATAAATGCATATATTAACATGTGATTAGAAAATTCATCCTCTGCTACTTGTCTGGGCTCGATTGACCATAATCAATGACTGATTTAGGTCTTGGATTCTATAAAAAAGCCCCAAAACTCCCAACTGGTGACATTTGCATTTTCTTCAAAACTTTAGACAACATAAAGAAAAGCAGTTTAAGGTTTCACCAAACTGTTGAGTTTTGAAAAAACATTTTCCCCCTTAATTTGAACCATAATTTTCTCAAAGAAAATTGAATTAAAAAACCAACTAACATGTTTTTGTAATTAAACAGAGTATTGAGCTATGCAAACAATAAAGATCCTTGTTTGAAATTAATTCCTGTCCTGCTTCTGGGATTACCAGGGGAATAAAATTATAGCAAAACAAAACAGAAAAACCTGCTACAGCCTAGAACTTGCACTTTACCAGAAGCAAAAGGAAATTTAGACTCAATAGTTTAGAGTTCTATTCTGTCTCCAAAACGCATGATTTGTTATAAATTTGACAATAAGAAAAATCTCATCACTCCTGTCATCAGAAGACAAAGCTGTACCTCTAATTTTTATTCTTTACAGCTCACTTGTTTACTTTTCTTCCTCTGTACTGAAGGGACATATTGAGGTGATTCTCAGGAATGTGAACATAAGAACAGTGCATCAAGTCAAGAGATAGTAATTGTCTACATTTTAGAGGAAAAGTTTCCTCCTAGGGCAGGAAGCTTGCCTGGAAGTAAGAAAGGTCTCATAGAAAAGTCTGAAAACCTTTAGGTTGACTGTATTCTTCTTTTATATTTATTTGAAAATAAAAAAGAAACAAAAAAACTCACCAACTAAACCACAAGAGGCAAAATCTGACCTGTGATACTGTGTTTAAAAACCCCAGAAGCTGTTTTTAGAAACAGGTCATATTTCCACGAACAAACATTGCTTGTCAATTAACATAGTGAAACACTCAAATTGGCTTCAGAAGGTTAAGTCTTGCAGGATATCATGGTATTAAATATATCAGTTTTGGGGTCTCAGTCTTCTGAGGGTGTCAGTGTGCTGTAACTACCCATCAATCCTTTGCTCTGTTGAAATCTAACCATCTGGTTTGTGTTGAGCCTCTTGAATAAGCTACTGCTCCCCTTGTTCTTTGTGTACAGAGCTGCCTTTTGGAACACAATATTTGGTCAAGTTCCTTGGCCCACAGATTTCTTCTTCTTATCCAGTTGTCCTGCCCCAAGTGCCCCAGTTGTGCATGGGCTCTCAAGAGTCCAAAGTCAACATTGTGGAGGCTTGGGCATGCTGAGTTTGTGGTTGAGGGCACATCCAAATGTTGCTACATCCCAGATTTGGTTCAAATACTTAGCATAGCCCATTTATTCTAATTAAATAAATGATATTTCTCCAAAGGAAAGAAGAATGGGGAGAGAAAATGAGCAGGGATCAACTGCTGAAGTGTTCCCTGTGTCAAAAAACATGAGCATTCCTGTAACATTACACTGACTCTGTCACCAGGGACACAGCGGCCCAGTTTCAAGTTTTTGCTCAATGCTCCAAGAGTCCCAAGTCACAAAGCTGTGCCCATGACTTAATACTGCCAGCATTAAGAAGATTTTCTGGGGAAAATTTTCAAGTACTTTTTTTTTTTTTTTAATAATGTTTTCTTCAAGTTGAAAAGTCATATTGCCTCCCTAAGGGCCAGAGGCTAACACGTGGAATAGATATCAATGAATTGTTTTCATCCTACAAGCTAATGACCAGGTCAAAATTCCTTTAGTCTCTTCCTTCTCGATTGGGGAGTTTTAAAAATAAAATTTCTTTGCTATGCCACCTATTAGCTAAATGGTTTGTTGACCATTTTTATAAAGTACATGTACACATTTTAAATGCTTAAAAATGTGTCAGAATGTTGATTTATCTTGTTACTTTATTAATTTTTTTGTTCCAGCTTCCATTTCTTCGGGCTGGCATTCAACGATATAAATTTTCAGCGAATGCGTATGGTTATTTTATATCCTTTTAAGACAGGGGATTTTGCTGTATCACTCACTACATAATAAAATAAATGGAGGAAAACTTCTCAGAGCGCGCACTGCCAATTTATCCTAGAATGTCTCGGCTTGTACTGGCGCGCGGCCTGACCACTGCAGCAGCACGGCGCGCTCCGGCCGCGCCGCTCCATCGCCAGCTTGCTGTGTGGCCCTGGGCAAATAAACGAGCCAGCCTCGGTTTTCCTTGCTCCAAAGGATGGCAGAGCTCATCTGCAGCACTGGAAGAACGAGACTTGCGAGGGTGGAATGAGTGAGCAGCGCTTTGATCCTGCAGCCGGGTACGGGGCAGCCCAGCCGGGCTGGCTGTGCCAGCTGGGCCCCGGCAGGATGGGCAGGATTCACTCTGGGAACCCTCCTGCTCTACTGCCGGCCACGGGCTGTGTACAAGTCATGAACAGGACAGGACTGCTAGGAATGTGCCTTGAGCTGCTTTATTTTCCAGCATCAGTCTCATTACGTGGTTATGACAATGGGAAGATGCCACCAGCTCAGATCCCTGGCAGCAGACCAAGAACTTCATGATACAACTAAATTTATAAGTTTTCTGACCAATCACACAAAGCAAAAGCATATTGACGGCAGTTCTACCCAACCACTATAAGCACATGTACCTTTGTTAAAACAATGCTTGCTTATTTCAAAGAAAATACCTGTTTGTAAGCCTTAAAACACAATGCACAGAGCTCCATTATTAAGCTTAAAGTTTCCTAATATCTTGCTAGATAAACTTTTCTGTAGCTTAGGGAGTTATTCTAGACAAGCGTTAATACACAGACCATTGTTCTATTTGCCCTTGCTTTTCTACATTTTACATAATTTTTCTCCTGACCTATCTCATGGCTACAGCTTAGCTGTAATCACAGTTCTGCTCTCTCTGAGGCCTGCCTTTTGCAGCTTTCCCAAAACCCTCTGATTTTATGGATTCCCACACTGCTGAAGCCATGGCTGGGTTCCCTGACTCCATAGAGCTCTTCCTGACTGTTTCATAAGTTAAATGAACCCCAGTAAAGTAACTTTTTATGATATTGTGAATATATTAAAATGTTTAAAACTATAATAGAAAAGCATACTTTATGAGTGTCGTTAACAATTTCTCTATCATGAAGAGAGTGTTTCCACCTATTCTAGTATTTCACACTACTTTCAAATAGACAGGCAGATCATATCTGTGTTACAATATTAACAATATTAGGGTCCAAAACTTAATTCAACTCCTTTATTACTTTTGCAAAGTGCACACTTGCATTTGCCCCATATTGTGGGTGACTTGGATCTGCACATAATATTAAACCAGTTTTCTTAGATCACTAAGTCACAACAAATGAAGAACAGAAATAAAACAGTAAATTTCAGCAAGAATGTAATTTTTGAAGTGTTAAAAGCCTAGAGAAAATTTCTGCCTGGATTTTCAAATTTTTTTTAGAGATAACCTGAATTTTGTCCATATATTTAAGCATTGTCTATTTAATGCAGGGAAATTTCTTAATCTCTGGTGTAAGAAAGTCTCTTTCTACTTTTCCTTCCTCCTCTTTTGCTTTTTTTAAAATTACTTTTTCCTCTCTTTTCAATTTTCTTTTTTTTTTTAAGGAATTGTTTTTTGAACAAAAAGAAAGAAATTTCTAAAGCGCACTCCTAATTCACTCATTAAAGAAGATAAACTATTAAACTTTTACCTTTTCCCACCCCAAGAAAGAATAATGATGCAGGTCAGGATCTGCTACAATAGATTTTATATTTTACAAGATTTAATCTGCAGGGATGAGTTAATATTTCCAGGGAGTGGCATCTCAATACTCGTTAATATGTCTCCCTCTTATAAATATGATCTCAGATGGTTGAAAACAAAGTTTGAATACTAAGGCAGTTAATTAGTTTGGCTCCAAAAGGCACCAAATAATATCTCCTTCAAAACAATCTCTAAGTGGATGAGGTTCTTGGAAATACTATGACATACACCGTAATAGTTGGTTGTAAACATAGATCTGGAGCCTTGTTCCTGACCACAACAGAAGATGCTAGAACAAAACAAATTACTCCTGTACATGCCATTGTTGCTTCCTGGAAGGATAATTTCTTTGTCTTTGAATATGGATATTCACCCTTTATAGCCATAGAATAGGGGTGTGCAAACTCTGTAATACATTTAGACTGGTGTAAAACCAAATCAGGACTAGAATCTGAACCTGAATTCAGAATTACAAAATCTAGCATAATGTTATAATTCCAGAATTTAAACAGCCAACTGGCAGAAAACTTTCTCTGTGACCAGGTATAAGTAACACCTTTTGCCTAAAAGGCAATAGTCCATTTTTGTGTCTTGCTTTAATGTATTGTAGAAGGAGCCAGAACTACAAAAATACCTTCATTTTTTTGCTGAGAGGATCTTGATAAAGAAAATCCGTATCTCAACATGTTTGTGAAATTAACTTTTCACTGACACTTGATTTCAATGTCTGAGTAAAGGGACTTCAGTAGTGCCAGTGGGTAGGGAAGCAGAATAGAGAAGGAGCCATCAGAGAGACTTGAGACAAAGCCAAGTTCTAGGGAAAATATGCACTATTACGGCTCATTGTAATTTAAGTTAATACAAGAGAAACCCAAGAGAGAGGTATATTTGGAATCACACCCACAGCACTCATTCTTTTTGGAGTGGGATGAGAACTTATGTACTAGTATTGTCCTGTTCTTAATATTAACTCAAAAAGCTGTAGCATAAATACCAAAATTTCTGAAAAAAATAGCTGCATCTATATATTCTATGGAAGACTGTTAAATACTGGTGTTGTCTGTTTAAATTATTAGGTATCATCACAGATTAATCTATTTTTAATGTGGGACTTGGAAAAATTCAAAGAAATCTTACATTTTGTGTATAAAGGACACACACAAAGTCCAAGTCTCTTTTCTTTGGCACATCTGCAACTTTAATATGTCTCGTGCAGTTTTTGAAATGTTTTTATGAGAAAATATAAAATGCGTATTCTTATATGTCAAGGACCATATAAACTCATCTGTGAAGTCACACGGGCTTCACTTTGCCCTCTGACGCAGTCTTTGATTCCTTTGTGTTTGGAAGATATGAACCCATCTGTTTTAACCAGCAGAAGGAGAACAAATGAAGCAGTGTTTCAACAACTGAAAACCATCACAAGAGACACAGATCAGCTTAGACTAGAACTAAACCAATGTCAGAAATATCACCACCACAAGCTTCCAGTCCTTTAACTGGTACTTATCTGACCAATAATGGCTGAAAGCCATCTATCATTGCTTAAACTACATGATGATAAAACCAGAGTCTGGAAAATATCATTACTTGATCTATTTGGTAAACTTTCAAATATTTCTTTTAGAAGATTTGCCAGGCAAACAGCATAGTATAAAATTCAGTTTTATTTAATTTGTGTTTTATTGCTTTTAAATTTAGCTTGCAAAAAAGGACATGATTAAAGAGCTACAGCTGAGTGAAGGTACAAAGCTTCTGTTGTAGAAATAGGAGTGATTCTGGGTCTGTAGATAATTTGTAGCTGTGTTTTAGCCCAGAAAATTGTGCTGCAGGGGTGTTTAGTGGGTTTAGATGTGTTTCTGAAATCAGCTGGATAGGTTGAACGCAATATCTTACTTGACCTTTTTCTTTGTTATGGCTACTGTTGGCTGTGTCAAGGCCAAAATATTGGTACATCCAGACAGACCATCCATTCCTTATTTCAAAGTAATATTACAAAATTCATTCTTTCATTGCCAGAATAAAAGAAAGGCTCAGTCAACAAACCAGTCCTTAACAAAAACACAAAATAATGAAATTTTTAATTGATCTTTGTTTTCACTGTAGAATTCAGTCAAAATAATTCCCATCTTGATGTAAACCTATCCACAAATCTTCCTACAAGCATCTTTTGGATTTTCTGAAGATCTCACTGCCTTGCAAACCTGAAATAAGAAAAAATACATTTAGGTTTCTTTTAAATATTTTCTCTTAAAGGCAAAAAAGGGACAGAATTTATTTACAGAGATCTTTAGTTTTACATGTGTGACCCAGGAATATTTCTGGACAAATTTCATTATCTCTTCTGTATACAGGAAATGTTTGGTGCCTGTGAAGGCTGGTAGGTGTATAGCTGAGTTTTGATGGGCAGTATGCAGGATTGGAACATGGAAACATTTTCTGAGCTGCTTTTGGGGCTGTAGAAAAGGAAACTTCCCAGCTAAGGGGGAGGTACTGCAAAGAGGTTTTCTTTGGGCTTTAGGCAGGACAGGTCAAGCCTTTGAAGTCTTTTGAAGGGAAATGAAAGTTCTGCCTCAAAAAATTGAAGTGGACACCAATCAGCTCCAACATTGAGATCACTGCTGGAAGACTTTTTCTTTTGTATTTTGTAAAAGAAAAGAAAAGAACCAAGGATTGATAGTGATTTATGCAAATATGACAGGATTTGCTTCTCAGGGGGAGATTTGATGAGTGCTGAATCTAAAGCCTCTTTCCCAAATGTGTCTTCATTTCCCCTGTCTGAAAAGAGAGGCATGTGTAACTGAGCTCAAGCAATACCAATTTGCATTTATGTAGCACGTTCAAAATCAAAAGCTCCCAATACTTTTTAACAATATGCATAGCAAAGATTTCAAAGACTTTTAAAATGCAAAAGGTGGTAAATGCATTTGCAAAACAGCTGCAGACATTGTAAAGGAAATTGTAAAATTGCCCAAGCTTCAATTTTTCAAAGACTGTGATTTTTTTAGCTTTTTTTTTTTTTAACTGAATAGACAACCTGTATGTATGGGCAAATATCTAGGAGAATAGACTCAGAACACT